AAGAAAAAAAGAAAAAAAAAAGAAAAAAAAAAGAAAAAAAAAAGAAAAAAAAAGAAAAAAAAAAGAAAAAAAGAAAAAAATCATTTATTATCACTCATTGACCCTAAACACTTTATTCATTTTCTCTTGTGAATATTATATCAAAGAGCCTGTTTGAGATAACAGTTCTGGTTTGTTATTAGTTTGTGGCAAGGTTGAATAAGACCTTCCACATCTGTTTGCAAGCTTATTTTCCATTATTGCTTCAAAGAAAACAAAGAAGAAACCACCATTGTTGTAATTGTTCTACAATGCAAAGCCTATTAATTTTGTGCAATATAAAATTATACATGACAATAATATTTACCAAATATTTTTCGAGTAAGTGTTTTATAGACTTTTGCATATATTTGAAAGATCATAACCAAGAGTTTAAGATAATATTACACACTGCCAATATAAATACACAATGTTTGTGTATTAAAGTTGGCACTACAATAGTAAAAAACGTATTTTTTTAATTAAATTAATTCAAAAGATGCCATCTTTATTTTGTTCAAAGAGTGAGCAAAAACAATTATTAATTTTAGCCTTTTCTTTCCACCTTACAATTTTGGAAGTGCTAGGATTACTTTTCAATATAGGGAGCTTTTAGCTCCAAAAACCTTTCAGATCAAGTTTCTAATATTTTAAAATGTCACACCATGGTAATTTTTCATTTTTGCCAACAACTAGTAAGACAAAATAATGTTGTAAAAATATTAAACCAAATGAATTTTAAAAAATAAATAATTAAAATCGATAATAACTGTAAAAAATTAAAATTTATATACTGCACTTATCCATTTTACATGGAAACAGTTTGTAAATTCATTAGTACTAATATTGAACTTAGGAAACTTTTCATCTATGTAGTCCTTCAAGGACTCTTTAAGTACTTGCTAAGAGAGGTATATATATTGTGGAAATAAATATTTAATCATGTTTGTAAATATATCCTATAATTTTAAGGCATATAATTTTAAATATAACTACAGCTTATAGTTAAATAAAACAAAGACAGAACAACTTATATTCATCACTTGCAGAGAAAGTTCACTTTCTTGTTTTTTTCTTTGCTGTATTTGTTTAGTCTTGATTTCTTTTACATCCTGTCTAATTTTCTTCATTAACAGGTACAAGTACCTGTTTTGTTTAAACAGTTCCTTTATATGATTAGGACGAGTATTATAAGAGTGACTTTAGCAAAAAAAAAAGTAACAGTTTTTCTATTCCAGTATTCAAAATAAAAAAAAACTTAAATAGTTACTATCCTGATTACAAGTTTGATTTAAATTAGTTGATTTTCTTTCATGTAATCAACTTCTAATTTCATGATCAGAGTGATGTGGTAATCAAAAATAATTATGATTGCTTTCTGAAAAAAAATGTCAAGAACAGAATAGTTGTTGAGATGAAAAATAAAATGGTTGTTGAAATAGTTGTCAAGATAGTTGTTGAGATAGTTGTTGAGGTGAAGAAGGTTGCTGAGATTAATGTTGTAAAAGTTGTTAAAATGGTTATCAAGATGGTTATCAAGATAGTTGTCAAGGTAGTTGTTGATATAGAGAAGGTTGTCAAGATTGATATTGTAAAGGTTGTTGAAAATAAGATTATTGAGGTTGTCGAGATTGAGATTGTTGAGATTGTTAAGAATGTCTATTTTTTATACTTAAAAAAATACTATACATATTTGCAATACTTTTACCTGAATCTGAAAAATTATTATTATAATTATGAGTAACCAATTTAACATGATTTGTATGAAAAGATTAGGAATATGATTTAGGATGTTTATAAGAAATTGATTGTGAATGAGAATAAGAATAAGAATAAGACTGAGTTATAGATAGATTAGTAATATTAGATGATATATCAGAAATAATAGAAGAGTTAATGATATTAAATATTAGGTTAGTGGTATTATATGTTTCAGAAGGATTAGCAATATTGGATGATATATCAGAAGGATTAGCATTATTAGGTATAGTACTAACAGGCGAGTTATTTGGGTTGATCAATATTTCCAAAAAAAAAAAATCTAAAAATATTTTATCTTTAAATATTGAAAAATCTGTTGTATTTATATATTTGTATATTTGATAGCTTTTGCAAATAGTTAATAAAATTAAAATCTGATGTTGGTAATTGTTATGTAAAATGAAAATAAAAAAAATACTTCTCTTTTTTCATTTGTCATTATATTTATAATGACATTTTACTGAGATCTATCATGTATTAGAGATTTATTACATTATTATAGCTATTTTACACATGTTATTATGTTATGCATATTAAATACAAGTTTTTGTACATGTTATATTACCTCAGGTAAACATATTATAATAAAATTAAGAATTTTGTTTAAATTGATTTATATCGATATAAATCAATATAAATTAATTTAAACAAAATTTTTAATCATTTTTTTAAATTATTTCTTCACATTATATACTTATATTTTCTTATTTTGTTTTTAATATATATCACTTTATTTTAATTATTCTTTTACTTTTTCTTTGTCTTTTTTTTTAGTTTTTCTTTTTCTTATTTTTTTTATCAATATTTCTTTTTCTTATCCATCTTCATTCTTTTTATTTTTATTTTTTCATTTTTTTTTTCAAAATGTATTGGAAGTATAAATATTGCAATCAAGAATTTTCAAAAGCTTTTGCATTAACACAACATGTTTTACAAAAACATCCTTACTCTTATAGTTCTTCAAACAAGAAAATCTCTAATAAACAAGTGGACAATAATATTTGGAATCTTCCAGAAGGCTATTCTAATTATGATTTTTCAGAATATAAGGTAAATGGTTAATATAATATTAATATAGGCTTAATGCAGAGAAAAGGAACAAATTTGACAAAAAAAAATTCTTT